TGGCTTTCAGAATTTCTAACGCGTACTGGCCTTAAAGTGAAAGCCTGGCTTTAAGCAATATATTACAACTGGCTAACTGCCATATGCTTCAATAGATCAAAGATAATCGCTGTCTTAAAGCCAGGAAAGCAGCCAGACCTTGCTGGTATCATCCGCAGCCTTACGAATCATTTGCTGAAGAAACAGCTGTTAGAAAGACTTCCACACTTAGCATACCAGATGTTTTCAGGACTATACCTAATTCTTGTGAGGAAGTTCTTGCCTAATCATTATTTAATATGTGTTTGACACAAAAAACAACGTGAACGCTTAAATATTGATTTTTTATACATGGGTATTCGCTCCCTGTTAAAGTTGAAACCACTGACCTTCCTGAAACACGTCCCAGCAAAAGTTACTAAATTCGATTACATTACTTTGGTGAATCAAAACAAGACTAGCACAGAGGTTACATTGACCCAGGAATTCGATGTTTTAGAAACGTATTTTAAGCAAAACTGAAGAAGATAATACAATCAAAATAGCTCATCAACAGAATAGTTAAATAAATTACTGGAGTTCGACTTATCACATGAAAGCCTTTTTGGTTGTTGGAAATTTTCTTTGATGCAGCTGAATATTTTACTCCTGTCTGCATGAACAGAGTGATACTAAGAGAGTAGATTGCAAACATACATTTCTACAGAGTTATGAGAAAAGTAAGTGTTACATTCATTTTTTTCTCTTCCCTGGCTCCTACTTCTTGTATCTTTACCCAAAATCCAAAACCCCCATCGCATCAGACCTGCAGACTAAATGAATTTCTACTTTGTCTAATTAAATTTTTACTCAAATATTTCCTTAAAAATGTCAGATTTATTCCCTAATTAGCATTAGATTTAACGCACTTAGATTTGTCACTAAGGAAAAGTGTAATTTTATGAAAAATTTTGATAGAATAGTATGTAATTTGCCAAAATTTAATCAAAATATATCCATAAAGAGGCAAACTAGAACAGTCTATTTTTCCCATAAGAAGAATTTGGAAATTTCAAATGTAACGTGTGGTAACATTTTGGGATTTTGTCTGTAACCATTGAGCCTACAACAATGCTTCAATTTAAAACATTATTTGATATTTAGCTCTACACGCGATAGTCATCATAGAAATTGGGCATTTTTATGTTTTAAGGGTAGGCTAAACATTTTAAAAACCCTATTTCTTGAAAAATGATAACACCCCATTCCCACGACCCGATATAATGGTGTTCCCTGAACTAATTCAAGTGTATACAGACAGCCCTACTTACTACCAAATTCCATCAAAATCGGACCAAAATTGTATACATAAACAATTCAAGGAATAGTGTTTTTGGCCTCTGGGGACATCAAATCGAAATAGAAAATTTGGTCCCGGGTCAAGGTCTTACCGTGTCTAAGGTATACACTTTTGATTAGGTTGGAGTTGGAGCAAAGTTGTTAAAATGGCTCAGTTTTCCCCAGAATATTTCGTTAGAATTTAAATTGTTGAATATGTAAATAAATAAACATGCACTATTATTGACAAAATTAAAGATCATAAAATGTCCTCAAAGGAAGCGTATTGTATTGACATTCTCGCCTCCTAAAATACAGGGGTTTTCTGAATGGCACGGTTTTAAAAGTAAATAAAAAAGAACCGTGAAAGCTATCTTCGAAATACATTTTTTTTCTAAAATCCGCATTTTAAAAAGTTGTGAAGAGATGCATTTAATACATTTATACATGTCCACTATTAGGTGTCATGCAAGGATCTAATGGATGGTCGATTTCGGCTTATACGCCCTGAACAAGGATCTTGTTACGACGATACTGCTTAGTAAATCCTGTAATTCCTTTTAATGCGCGACAAGACGAATATTCTTAGAGTACACAATATGTATGGCATATTCCCATAAGTAAAAATAACATGAAGTTAAATCTGGACTTCTAAGGCAAGCTACGTTTTCAATTGTTACCACCGATGCGGATCTCTCACAAGTCTACAGTTTTTATACTGATCCCGTTTCTACGAAGGGTTTACTCCAACGTCTGCTATTTTTAAGATTAGCAGCATTGTTAAATGATCTTGTTAAAGTCCTATTTACTAAAAAGCTGTTTTAATTTACTTAAACACTTTTCTTTCTCTTGATCGAAAACATATTTTAGGTCAAAATTACATATTTTGAGTAATTTTTAACCGCAACCGCCAACGACAACAATGAAACAGCTGTTTTCCAAGACAGTGTGACAAAACTATTTATACCAACCTCATTTTCCTACCTCACCTGGTCATGTTGTTATAAGCATTTGAAATTGGACCTTCATTTAGGAAAACTTTGTATCACATAAAAAATTGGGATACAAATTACAAACGGCTTCGTCATTAGACAATCTATCCATTCCAATATCTATGTGATTGGGACATAACTTTCTATTTTGTATGAATGTTACATCATGGTTACTATTACTTTTGTACATAATGTGTCTAAAAGAATATCTGATGAATTTTAAAATTCAAATTCGCGTTTCCTATCGTATTTTACAACTTTCAGAAAGTTTTATTCCAAAATTAAATGTATCTATCTTGTTTTCTTTTTGCCATTAGTTGCGAACAGCCATTACCGTTATCAATACCTACGTATTTCTCCGCCAACATAATAATCAATTTTAATTCTAATTTAAAAGGCAAGATATATTTCATTGTCAATAAGTCAGTAAGCCATTTGTGCAACCAGATTCGCATAAATGCATAGGTTACATCAATTATAGTGAAACATCGACTAATTCTCTTATCCAACTAAAACTATTTACATTTCTAGAACTTCGACCTAAGAAAATGCACTTATTATACTCATGACTGCCCGTCAGCAATAAACTCACGGACACGGTAGTAGCATTTAGATATCTCATTTCCAAAGGTTTTTTTAACTAAAGGGTTTGACAAAATCTTTTGATGATTTGGCAAAGCATTGAATAGAGGATTCCGTTAAGATACAGGTTTGTTTTAATGGTAGAATGCTTAGGTATCTGAAGACTGAGACTGTATAGCCAAAAATATACAAATTCTGGGGGTTGAAAAGATAGAGAAGTCGTTAAAAAATTTTTTTCAAGAATGTACAATAAAATAAAAGTTAAAATACTTGAATGCTGAAAAAATCTTTACAGTTCTTGGGCTGATTTTGAAGATGGTTCGAAATGCTCTCTTTTGGAGTCGAAATAAAAATCAATTTTTTTCATTCCCATGCACTGAGTATACCAAATAAGGGAAGATGACACCATACTATGCTGTCAGAAGGACATTGTGAGCGGAGCAATTTTAAAGTTGCCTTCAAAGGAAGATGTCAGACCCCACTCTCATACATGCACTATCGACATGGTCACGAAATCGAAGATTTGTTGGATAAAATACAACATATTCTCTAACTACTGCTGTTTATTTGTAAGAGGGTATTTAACATTAAAATAAATCTAAAAAAAGGACCAATGAATGGACTTGGAAGTAGAGACATCAACTGGCAATAGCATTCAATTGAAGGGCGATACAATGTTGGTTTTTATGACTGGTTGTATGACAGATCTATTTTTGCCTGTACTGGCTCATGAAAATCTGTTTACACAACAGGAGCGAGTGAATGAGTTATGACTACTAAAATATCACTTGTGTATGGGTGTTGTAGTAAAGCTTTTGTACTTTACAGCTTTAAACATAAAACATAATGGTTTTGAAACCAAGAACCACTTAAAGCACTATTTATGGATTGTGGTTCTTTTATAAAACGAGTAAATAAAACGAAATCCTTCTCTGAAACATTTTTGGCTTAGATAGTTAGATTATTCTTGGTGGTAATATTTGATCCTTAGGTGATTCTAAGACTTGAGCCATTGTAATGCTAATTAATTTGGTTTGGAATTGATGTTGTACAGTCAGTGAAGGACTTACAACAGTTAGTAGTAAAATCTAGCAGGAGGAAGCTTAAATTGTAAATTTATAACTGATAAGAATATGATATAGTTTAGGTCTTTTTTCAAGTGTTTAGTGTTCAAATCTGACTCTTTTTTAAGGAAACATATTTAGAACATCTGATCTCAGATTGATCTAGGTAAAATATAATATTCCATGACCAGGATGTAAATACACATTTTTCTTTTTTATTCCCCCAATACACATATGAAGAAAGTATTGTTTTCATCAAAATTTTCAAGATTGAGTTTTGGTGGAAATATTCGTTTTGGGCACCCTGAACCCCCCAAAAAATGGTTCTTGAAGCAATTTATGTGTGCATGAGCCTGTGTGTGTACAGAGTGCAGACTACACCTGAGGTCTGATTTTGATGAAATAAAAAAAATACCGATTTAATACAATTTTAAACAAAATTAAAATCACAACATTGAGTGTTGTTTTCCTATATGTTGTTTTTTTCATAAAATAATTACCTTATCTAATCACAGTTGTTGGTATTACAACTAGTTTCATTCCTTAGAACTCCATCAGGAATCAGGTCATTTTGTATGCAACCACATCATCAATGTATTACTACATTGTGGTATGTCAATAAATGCATTAAAAACTGTCATAATCACAATAATTGAAATTTTGTCATGTTGATAAAATAGTTTAAATGGAATCAAAATTGATGAAACTGATTAAAACTGTACAGGTTAGCCAGCACTGTCTTATCACTGCCACTGACTAAATAAAACTGACTGAATCATGGTGTGTCTTCTTCTCTCCAGTGCCACCTGTATTTCAGTGTGTATTTTTTTTACCACAACTGAAAATAGCTGTGAAGCCCTACTGGTCAGTAAAAACTGTGTTTGATACTTAAAAATACATATAATAGGTACTTGTCACACTAGATCAGTGGAACCTCAATAAAAGACCCTCGATAACAAGTTGTCCTTGACAACAAGTATTATTTTATCACCTCCATGACTTGGTATCGAGGTTGTAACACAAATCAAGGATACCTACGACTAGATAACAAAAAAAGGATACTTACGACTAAAGTTGAGGTTAATGGATGCAGCAACTTCACCCATCTTGTTTTTTGCTTTCACTTTGTAAAGTCCAGCGTCCGATTCCACAACATCGTCCAACTCGAGCACAACAAGGAACAGATTCGTGCCTACTGTTTGAATTTTCATAACAGTTCGGTTGTTCTCAACCAATTGTGTGTCACTTCGAAACCAGGTGATGTCCGGTTTCGGTGACGACAGAATCTTGCACTCGAAAACGAGTCGGTTGCCTTCATCCTCTTGCCGGAGTGAAGGCTTTTGGGTAAAGCTCGGAGCAAAGTCCTCAGCGACCCCCATCCTGGTCACTTAAGGACTCGGCGTTCGTATTCGTTCAGTATTTTCGCCGAAATGAAGACTTTGACCATAAACCTCCTGAAAAACAAAGACAACACTGTAGATATTTGTGTGAGAGAAAAAATACTAAAAGTATGTTAAGGGATTACTGCGGACGTTCTATCACGGTTGGTAAAAAACAAAGTTTTGAAGTCGTTTCGAGACCTGGAATACCTTATCGTGATGGGAGAGTACTTAAAATACAGGGTGCCCTGTAAGCAAACGCCCAAACTCTAGGACGTTGTTTTATGAGTTAAAATAAAATGTACAGTATATTAAGAATAACATTTTAAAGCTTCGTTAAAGAGAAATCCGCCATTTTGCTTTTTAATATTCAAACATTATAATTCTAAAACTATTATAAACTAAACTCTTTGTCAAAGATTGTTTACATTTTAAAGTTGCTATGAACTATTATTTACAACAAAATAATAATTTAAAGTATATTTTTTGTTTCAAAATTGCGGCTATTTTGATTGGTATTTTTTAAATGACTAAAAATAGAAAATTTTATAAAAAAAGTCAAGTGCACTTTTATTTTGCATTTAAAATTTTCCTATTAAACGATAAAAAAATTAAAAAAATTTCATTTCATGCCATTTTGCCTTGTTTTACGACTAAATATTGTTAATTTTTAAGCTATACTATTTAATCGTATTGAATTTGTTGTCAATAGACAGGAAAGTCTGAATGCTAAAAGAAGTGTACTTGACTTTTTCAGAAAATTGCCCATCTTTTAGTAACTGTAGTTTTTAAAATTAAAATGGTCGGAATTTTAAAATGAAAATTTTATCGTTAAACTTTTAAAAATATTTTATAGCTACTTTAAATCTTATACCGGTACCAGATTTTATAAAGATATCTCTATCAGTTTTAGATATATTAATTTTAAATAGTAAAAAGCAAAATAGCGGACATCTCGTTTGCGAGGAATTAAAAATATTTAATTTTTACCCATCATAAAACCTACGGGACACGCTGTATAACAAAATTAGTACACAAAACCATTAAAAGCTAGAAAAATTAGGCTATTATAAAACCTAACACGCATGTAAAGTTGAGTCGTATGTAAATATACTCAGTTAGTAAATCATGTATACTTATGTGGACAACATAATGAAGTTTGAAACGTTATTGAGCAAAATATGTTGACTAATTTATTATATACGTGTTTTAAACCTAAAATTCATCAGAGGCAGTCAATTTGAAATCGGAACATTGTTCAATGTTATTGAAGATCTAGTATCATTAGGTATATGCAACATTTATCTGAACAGACTAGACATTTTATTAAATTTTCACACTATTCACAGTCTGAGACAAAAAAGACCAGGTTAAATTATCCACTGAGCATGCTGAAGTCAAATACACAAAATTTTTAATAAGCCACCTTAAAATGTTAATTTTAAGCTATGGAATATGTCACATAAACTAGCAGTGACGTAATCTAAGGTAGAAAAAGAGAAGGTAACTGAAATATCTTATTTTCTAATTTTAATTTAACAAAATTGCACGAATATTAGAACAGATGGTATGGGTCTTAAATAGTTAACTATACACAGAATAGACTTCCCATGGAATGTAAAAATTTGAAGCCAAGAAAATAGATGGAAGTGCAGGCCCATCTCACCAGAGTGGATTGGGTTAAATATGAATTAAAATCGATGCAGTATCATAGCAAACAGCTGATTGATTCATCACTTGACAAAGAATATTGCCATTAGTTGGTAGACCATCTCAACAGATTGCACCACGTTTTTGGCTTAAAATTTTTACATTACATGGGAAGTCTATTCTGTGTATAGTCAATGTTTAAACATAAACCACAGACGTAACTGGCCTGAATTCTATACTAATAACATTAAACATGTAGTTTGGACAGTTCTGCAATAATGTTTACTTTGGGCCAGTAACATCATTTGTTTATGTTTATGATCCATACCAGGTCTGTACTAGTATTTGGGACAAAATTGGATGCACCTAGTCCATTTAGACTGGTCTATTTCAGTATCCAAAGTTCAATAGTTGCAACCAATGTTTTAAATATAGTGTTTCTAAAATTATTTGTATTTTATCCAATTTCTGAATATTGAAGGACGATTCAATTTCAACTCTAATGCGTAATAACCTTAATTGGTTTGAAACATGTCTACAATTATTCAATATTTTAACACTTTTAACGTTTTTAACTGATATGATTTGCAGATTGCACAAAAAGGAGCCTGCCAAGTCTTGAAACAACTCATACAACACAAGGAATGCACGCTGCACAGCTGTCGAAGAGTTTAGAGTCTCGGCCCAGAAATGTAGAATAAAGTTGTGTGTACAATCCGGCTGCAATGTCCGAAAATAGCGAGTTTACAAACGGAAAGAAGGGAGGGGGAGAAGATGCCTTCCAAGACCTCAACTGTAAACAATGATTTGACGATAACAGTAGGGAAACTGGGAAATAGGGAATCATTGGTTCGCAGAGTTTTTGTTTAGGTATTAATTAATTGTGCTATCCATATTTGCGATCAAACCCCTATTGTGAGTGGTCATTTAAGTCTTAGATTGGAAATTATGGTTTCGACCTCATCATTTTCTTGTACGTGCATTTCCAGATATTTATTGAATATTGGTATTTGGTTGGTGGATTAGTAGTTTCAAATATATATATTTTAGCAGTTATGTCTTCTATTCTCTATATTGGTAGTTTTAATATATGTTTTAACTTCCCAAATAACCATTAAAATACTTGCTCTTGTAAGAATTTTCAACTTTTAAATTTACTTGTTATATGAGACCGTAAGGGTTAACTTAAGAAATACAACTTTCCGAATTAGTAAGTTTTTGTTTGATTTAGTAGTCCCCTGTTCTTCATAAGGCGAGTAAGCGCAGGAAATTGTTAAGAAAGTAACTAATATAATGAATACTTCTTAAAGTTGATATGCAAAATCGAAGGTCCGAGAATAAATTTTGAATAAACCTATCAAAACTACAGTAAATTAATTCTTTGAATGAAAATATTAAATTCCTATAAAAATGAAACGATTTTCATCATACTTGTTTCAAGTATTTTTAAATTCTCTTAAAATCTTCGATGAACTTTTATAGTAACTAAGATATTTGATAAGTGTATGATAGAAGACACATAGTTATGAAAATATGACAACAACAAAAATACAAAATAATCCATAAAATTATTAAATTAATATGAGTAGTTTCATAGTAGCCATTTAACCACCAAACCAATATTTTCACACTGGGAACACATTGTTTCTATATTACGGTGAGAAGTATGCATTGAAGGAAATATTACTAAATGAAACACAAATGAACATGTCAGTCCTAGTTTTTATGGATAAACGAATTTAATTTGAATTTGAATCCTAGTTAATTCCAGTTGACAAAAAGAAATAGTTGTAGGAAGTCCTGCACATATTAAGATCAGTAGTGTAAACTAGAGAAATAAATTTCAAAGTAGTGTCTACAATAGGTTTTGTATTTGGTTCTCGCTGTTTTTACCAAAACTGATTAGAAGAGGGTTGCAGTCATAATGATCTAATTTGATTTTCTTAAGAGTTCGGTATGAGCCGTAGTGTAACCGGACCGTTGTAACCGGACCGTTGTAACCGGACCGTAACCGATTTTCATCAGGTTCATAGCCTTGATAATAGTCAATCTAATATTTCAATCTGAATTGAAAAAAAAACCTCTAATTTCTCGTGATATTGCATGCTACTAGTTTCTTGAGTATATTTATTGAAATTCAAAGTTTCAAGTAAAGATTTTACATTTGAAGTGAAATTGAGTGAAAATTCTAGTAATATCCAAAACCTTCCGTCTTGGGAGATGTTAGGCAATATGGCAAGTCGTGCTCAGATCACTTTTACGACTAAACCATTTAGAATTTTCACAGACCTGTTTAAAAATGTATAATAGAGCAAAAGTGGGTGTTCGCGGTTGTGCCCAGAATAACTGTGCCCTCTTTATGTCAGTCCAACTAAAATATTGCTTTTGTAAATGTCTCGATGCGCCTCTTTCTAGCCGGAGAAGATAAATCTATTATTGTTTCTTGGTTGAAATGTATACGATTGTTTGCTTTGCTAATCTGTTTGGAACTTTGAAGCAAACACTAATGATATTTAACACCCTAGACGATTAAAAAATCATTGAGATGGGGACGCAACCTAGGTGTGAATTTTAACCCTAATATGAATGAAGGTAACCCTAATTTTAGAATGGAGTGAGATCTGTGTAGCTTTGTTACTGACTAAGATCAGCTGTTTCATCAGTCAGGATCATTTTACTCAAAGCAATGATCAGGGACAGCTGGGTCCAGTTTCGAACCATCAAAAAGCTGTTGACTTTTCTCAGGATTGAGCCGGCGACCTTTTAATAATTCATGAGACAGGGAGAGAATAGAGAGAGAGAGAGACAGAGTGAAGTAGAGAGACAGAGGGAAAAATAGAGAGGGATTTTTTAGACACTCATCTAATTTTTCTATGGTGAATTTTGTATCTTACACATACTTCAGCATAGTTTTCGGTTAAATGTTTTCCATCGAAAATAGTAATTGAACCATTACAGCTATCACGATAAAAATCCCTTAAAATTCCACTAAGTAGACAAATAAACCTAGTTTGTTTACGTATCCAAACCCTAGAATGAAAAACATTATTCCAAATAGGTTCCAAAGACGTTCAAAATAACAGCTTCCTTGAGCAATGGTCAGACATAAGAATCGAAACAACGGTCTAGGTCATTGAATATAGAAACTGTTATGAAACTAAAACGAGCTGAGAGTAAATATGGATCAACCTACTCGGTGAGTCAGCATCGATTCACCATAAACAAATCATCTGCCAAAAGATTTGTCATGAGTCATGTATGAGTGCAGCGAACAACAATCTAAATATAGTTTTGTTAAGCAATCAACACCTCATGCCTAGGTTATTCTTTGTTCTTTTGTTGCAGTTGAAATGCACAAGTGCAATATGGTTTAATAAGTTGTGGCTTAAAAGTTTTATAAATAAGACCACCTTCAAATCGCTGAC